TGAGATGTTAGAAAGAAATTATTTACTGTTGAGTGGTGAGAGGTACTGGCACAGGTTGCCCAGAGAGGTGTGGAGGCCCCATCCTGGAAGTGTTCAAGGCCAGGTTGGATGAGGCTTTGGGCAACGTGGTCTAGTGGAGGGTGTCCCTGCCCGCAGCAGGGGGGTTGGAACTAGATGATCTTTAAGGTCCCTTCCAACCCAAACCGTTCTATGATTCTATGATTCTGTCTTGTACTTTTGTGCAGATATCAGCCAGACTAGACTGCCTAGACTTTCAAATTGGTATTGCTATCAAACAGAACTCTATTCTTATGATCATTTATTAAAAGCTGTTACTTAGTTTCTTCCTATATTACAGATTAAATTGTGACACTTTTGCTTTTTAGGTATGCAGGAGAAATTCTGTTCCTACCCATCACTCCAATAAAGCAGTATTTAACTTGCTGCTTTTCCTTTTAATTCAGTGAATCGTTGTCCACTTGTTCCCATTTCTTTTTGTTAATGAGAAATGTTATGTGGTAGAGTAAGAAATTTTTATCTGATGATTTTCTTCCGCTTAGCTCAGCTTCTCATTGACTCTAATGATTAATAGCCATCATACCTATTGGAGCTTTCCCCCTGCCCCCAATAGAACTGATATCTAACTAATCAACAGAAATTCATTTTAATAAAAATTGCTTTTTTTGAGGATTTTTACCATTTTGAAGAAAATCTTCTCATTGATCTGAACTGATTAGTGTTAGTTGTGAGAACTCTAGCAGTTCTATTTGGACTATATTTGAATTTTATGATTAGGGAGCATTGTGATGAGTAAGATGAGAAGGAGAGATTTGTGATGAATGGGGTAAGAAGCTGCTAACAGAAATAATACAACAGAACATTGTAATGTACTTGCAAATCTTGAAGACTGTAAATCTCAAATTTTTGTCATTGCAACAGTGTTTTAGTTTTTTAGCTGGGCAACTGGTACAAAGTTGCTGTACTCAGTTTTTTAAAAATTTTTTTTTGTCATGATTGTGTGTTTGCTGTTCACATAGCTTGTAACTCTTTTCAAGAAGACGTTATCCATATTCCCCTTTCTTTAAATACTACATTTCCTTCTGAATATTCACTTTGGTGAAATAAAGTATGTTAGAATTAATTATATTTCAATACAAACTGTCAGAAAAAGAAGTTTTAATCATACTTTTTTATAAACACATTTGTTTCTCCTTTGAAATAATAAAATATATATAATAAAAATTCCTGCATTTTATATTTGATGAAGGGAAACAAAGAAGGATTATGTGTATCTGTGGGAGGAAGGCAGTCAGAACAGGCATGAAATGATGCTGAACTGATTTCTCAGTTCACATTCATAAACAATAGGGCTGATTTGGAAAGAAAGAGGTTTTTTCTTAAATCAAGGATAGATGTTTCTTATATTTTATGGCTATAGTAAGTAGGTGATGAAATGATTGTTTGCAGTTTGTCGCTTTTTCTTGTAATTCATTCCTGTAGAACAGTGTTTTTCAGTCACCGGATCTCTGATATGTGCAGTATTAAATGTCATATTTGGTCACAAGGAGAGAAGGAAAGAATCGGTTGAAGTTTAATCAAAAAGTAAAATTTGATATTTTTACATGTTTTAAGTAAAAAACCAACCAAACAAAAATATCGCAACAAAAATCCAAACCAACTTTGTAATGCCATTTTGACATCAATCTCAGAAATTTACCAAGGCAGTCATATTTATTCCTTAAACATGGGAAAAATTGCTTGGTCTCTTGTAATCCCTGTAATTGTAAGAATAGAACTTGGGTTTCTTGATTGACTGCCTACTGTCCAGTTCACTAACGTTAAAAAAAAACCAACACCAAAACCCAAACCCATTCCATTTTCATTTATCAAGCTACTGTTCAGTATTAAAATTAGACTTCCAACTACATATGATAAATTTGGGATAATTGTCTTTAGACACTTGTTAATCATCATTCAAATGTAATATGTGTAATTCCTGCAGTAAACTGATGAAATTTTTATGAAGATTTATTAATATATAACTGTAAAATTCAAAATAAAGCAAATGGCATAATAAATTGCATGTTTGGTATTAACAGATTTTATTACTTTTGTGTCTTCAGGGGCTGATGGAAGAAAACAAAGTTCAGATCGCTGTTTTAAATCCCAAATCCATAACAATGGGTCAGCTATATGGAGAATTTGACCCAGTGTCACATGAATGGTCAGATGGTGTCCTAGCAGTGAGCTTCAGAGCATTTGCTTCTTCCCAAGTAAGTGCTTAACAAGCTGAGAACATTTTGGGAAATGAATTTTCAATGTCTACATTTTAGAATTTAGTTTCATGTTGTTTGCACAACCATTGTAGGATTCATATGCTTAATCATTTGAATGCAGAGTCTGCAGTTTGGCTTGACTGTAGTATGCTCCATGCAAAATACTTTCTGGATATTAGTGAAACAAAATTTGTGTTTGAGAATTCCTTACGTGATGATAAAGGTGCTTGTTTGCATATGTTATAAATAAATTAATATTTAATCTTTCAACCATATTGTCACTCCTTATTTTGTCTGATTAGGGCCCAAGTCTGTGCTCTTTATGTGTATTGGCATTTTGATGTTTATTTTGGAAGAAACTCCTTTCTGAGTGTGGCTAATGGCTGACATTCCATTGAACTGTTTTCACTGAGTATAATAAAAGATGTGTCTACTGGACAGATACTTTAATTTTTGCTAGTGACTGCAGTATCAGACTCTTTGCCTCTATAAGCTTAAATAAACTAATAGTATATTGAAGTTGATCAGTGTGAATTTCACCAACTCTAATAACACTTGCAGAACGGCACAACTGCTTTGTATTTTCCTGTAAGAAATATGATGAATACCCATGACTATTTGCTTATATTGTAAAAACCCAGACATATTACATTTTAAATATTACCATATTCCTTAAATTAGTCCTATTGCCTTCCATGGTAAGTGTGCTGTAGGTATTGCTGATGAATAGTAACTTGTATTAACCATCTCACTGTGTCATAAGTCAAAGTATTTGAATATGTTGCAGTTTGACAGAAGCAATATACTGCATTGCAAGTATAACTAAAAGAAACAAATTATATTAACCTTCTATAGTTAACTATGGTATGTGTTTTAAAATTATAAAACTAAATTGTGATTATAGATTGTGATTTCAGAAACTGCTTGTAATTCAAGTCTGTACTCTGAGTAGTTTTGTGGAAAATAACTTTAGATCTAAAATATTTATTTTACAGTAAACATAATAACAAAAATTGCAAATATTTGATTAAAAATATTTTCTGCAAACCAGACTCCAGATAGGAAGTGGCTGGTTTTTGATGGACCAGTGGATGCAGTATGGATTGAGAATATGAATACTGTGCTTGATGATAATAAAAAATTGTGCCTCATGAGTGGAGAGATCATCAAAATGTCACAGCAAATGAGCCTTATTTTTGAACCTATGGATTTAGAAGTTGCTTCTCCTGCTACTGTAAGTAGCTGTCTTTGAAAGACTTATTACAAGTGCCTTTGATTATTGTGATATATATTCTATTTTTTTAAAAATATACATAACTGAGAATAGTAATTATAAATTTGTATTTCTTTGATATATGTTTTAAAAAAGAACATTGTAGCTTGGTTTGCTTGTTTAATTTTTTCATAATCTTACAATATGATGTGAAAAATTACGTATTTACATATGTAATATAAATTATATATACAGAAGACCCTGTAACTGTTCAGGGTCAGGCCTTGCAAGTGCCTGACAAGAAAAATAAAACAATTCATGTGCAAATCTTTAATCTCCCAGACAAATTCTGATAAAACTAACAATCATATTTCTGACACTTTATCTATCATACTTATTTTTTCTGATGGCACTTTGTGGAATGCAAAAATTTTCTCTTGAATATGAATACAGGCTCAGATAATATAAACAGAACAAATATCTGTGTTGTCACACTGGAAAGGAATTTTTACTTAAAAATTATATAACAATTAAAAATAAGCGTTAGGTACTCTAGTAATCAGTTTATTATCTTTTGTGACCTTAATGTTGGGAACTAATTCTATTTAAGAGGTAAATCTGTCTTTGACATTAGGTCTCCTGTTGGCTGAAGAAACAGAGCTGTGTTTGAAACGCATCTGTATCAGGGCTCACAAAACCCCATTGTAATCATTATATCAGCTTTTAATAATCCTAGAAACTATATGTTACAACACTGCATGCTATTTTAAGTTCTTTTAGATAGGAAAAAAACCACCTTTGGAGATTGCATAAAGCAACATGCACCTTTTTGTTTATTTTTAGGTTTCAAGGTGTGGTATGGTCTATATGGAGCCCCATATGTTAGGCTGGAGACCGTTAATGATGTCTTGGTTAAATACAATGCATTCGGGAATCAGCTCTGTGCATAAAGAATTTACAATAGGCCTGTTTGACAGAATGGTACCGCTTTGTCTTGAGTTTATTAGGAAATACACAAAGGTAGGATAAAGAACTTTTCTGAGAAACTCAGAGTGCATGAATTATTTTCACTTCCACGTGTCAAAGGAACAAATAATTTTATTTGGACCATGTTAATTTATATTTATTAATTTTTAAAAACAACTGTTAAGATGAAGGCTGTGAGCAAGGTTTCTGTGTGTATTGTTTTACTTGCTTCTGAATGTATTTTAGACACACCTATCTTCCAATTTTTTTAATCTTCACAATGAGGAAAAACCCCCACCATGTAGGAGTCTCTTTTCAGTGAGTAAAACACACTTGCAACTGAGAGCATTTCTTATTTCTTTTCAGGAACTGTCTCCTACTTCAGATACAAACTTAATTCGGTCACTAATGAATCTGATGGACTGCATGATGGATGAATTTGCTGATGAAGCCAAGGTTAAAGCTATGAATGACCATGACATTTTCTCCTGGCTTGAGGTAGGCACTTTATTTAATATACAAAATAGGAAATTCCAAACTAAGTTTTAGTGAAATGGACTTCATAAGGATTAAAACCTATATTTTGTCATTAGAATTCATATTTTGTAATATCCATTTAGGAAAATACTATTACCTTTACAATTGATACATAGTTGAGTCTGATGTATTTGATGTCTTGATATAAATTTAATGAATTTCATACAAACCAGCCAAAACTGTATTATGATTCTCCAGTTTCTGGTATCTCAGTTTATTGCTAGTTAGATCTCTAGGGATTACAATTCAAGGAAAGCCCTGTTAGCAGGCATAGCCATTGCTGTGTGAGATAGGCCTTTGAATAACAGAAAGATAATCTAAATTGTTCTGGAACAAAAATCAGTCTATGCTTGAACTTTCTCAAAATAATGGCTCTGCGCTAAGCAGGTCAGGCATTTTGCTGCACAACAAAGGTGATCAGATGCTGATCATAAATGGTGTTCTATTTTAGCAGCAGTATGGTTCCATGCTATGGAAGTTGGTCCAGTGTAATTCTACTGTGATTTATGACAAAGGTTTTTTTTTTCTTTACTTTGATGAATAAGAACTTTGTAATATGCAGGTACTGGCGTTACTTTTTTTTTTTTCCCCCCCAACTCTAGGGTATTTTTTTATTTTCACTGATATGGTCTGTAGGAGCTAGCTGTAAGGAAGATGATCGACTGAAATTTGACAAAGTTGTGCGAGAAATGCTTAATGGACCAATTAGTGAGGAGATAAGAGAACGATACAAATTGTTGAGCAGTATTGATCAACAGCCTTCAAAAGCTTTTACTGTCCCATTTCCAACAGAAGGAACAATTTATGATTATCGTTTTGTCAAAAAGGTGAGGATTGCAAAATAAGATGTGGACTTCTATTTTGAATGCTACAAGGTGTGCATTGTAAATTTGTTTTTGGTGCCTGCTTCTTTTACCACTGAATAGGCCAGACAGCCATCCTTGTGAACTAACGATGGTTTTGTGTACTGGCTGGGACTTGCAGTACCAAAGCCTGTCTTTTGGCAACCAGAGTAACTGCCTGTTGTGGCAGAACAAGTTTGCAAAGAATCTTAACCAGTTGTGCTTTTCTGGTTTTTTTTATTTTTTAATTTATTTTTGATTTATTGTAAGATTATGCTATTTTGAGTTTCAGCCCTTTTCTTAAATTGACGAAGCAATTGATATACTTTAGGCCATAACTCTTTCATTTCTGTAGTAGGCTGCTTCTCTGCCTCTTCTTGTCTGCCCATTTTTCCTGGGATTAAGATGTGAATCCATGGTGCATCTCTCCCAGTGGAGAAGAAAACTTCACACACTGGATCTAGTGTGCTCCAGAGACTCCGAGATAAAATAAATGTACCTTTTTGGTTTTGAGCTTGTCATTCCCGTGAAGTCCTGTTGCAGTACAACGAGAATTACTTTTGTCTAGATTTCAGCTTATGCGTTATTCCTGTGTGTTGCCAAGGAAAGTGGCTGAGATTTCCACCAGCACTAAAAGATTTATGTCTTCTGATCATAATCCATAAAAATATGTTCTTCCAGTAAAGGGATTTTTGTGTTCAGAAGTGGGAATATGCCCCCTCTAAGAAAGACTTAAGGAGAGAGCAATCTTTTTTATCTCAAGATAGAATTTTTTTGGTATAGTATGGAACATTCAGTTGTTTCAGGGCTATTTACAATTTTTTTAAAAATCTCCTTATATTAATTTACTGCTGGAGAGTTTTGACATCTTTAGTTTTGACATCTAGACTCCTCTAATAGGCTGATCTAAAGGGCAAAGCTTTGCTATGAAGCTTCAGCACTAAAATTAATCTGCCCTCAAATTCCACAGTTTGGAGGTATTTATTATGAATGAGAGTCTGTGAAAAGGCTGACTATGCTTTTTTTAGTTTCGGTGATTAAATTTATACAGTAATTTCCTATTTTATTCCATATTAAATACATATTTAAGCTCAACGTGAGCCAGCAATGTGCACTTGCAGCCCAGAAAGCCAACCATATCCTCGGCTGCACCAAAAGAAGTGTGACCAGCAGGTCGAGGGAGGTGATTCTTCCCCTCTACTCCGCTCTTGAGACCTCACCTGGAGTACTGCATTCAACTCTGGGACCCCCAACATAGGAAGGACAGGGAGCTGTTTGAGTGAGATCAGAGGAGGGCTGTGAAGATGATCAGAGGGCTGGAGCACCTCCCTTGCAAAGATAGTCTGAGAGAGTTGCAGTTGTTCAGCCTGAAGAAGAGATGGCTCTGAGGAGACCTTATTGGAACCTTCCAGTACCTAAAGGGACCTACAGGAAAGCTGGAGAGGGACTGTTTACAAGGACATGGAGTGATAGGACAAAGGGTCATGGTTTTAAACTGAAAGAGGGTATATTTAGATTAGATATCAGGAAGAAATTCTTCTCTATGAGGGTGGTGAGGCACTAGAACAGGTTGCACAGAGTTGTTGATGTCCCCTCCCTGGAAGTGTTCAAGGCCAGGTTGGATGGTGTTTTGGGCACCCTGGTCTAGCAAAGGGTGTCCCTGACAATGGCAGGGAGGTTGGAACTATATGGGCTTTAAGGTCCCTTCGCATCCAAACCATTCTATGTTTCTCTGATAAGCATGTTTCCATTCTATATATGTGTGTGTGTGTGTACAGATATAAAAGGTAAGATAAAGTCCTTGTCTCTCAGTAGTTGCATGCTTCAGGCACAGGTGTTATGTGTCTTTTTAAGTACTCTCAATTGAAAGCACTGTATTCTGAAACAAACCCATGAAATTATTTTTTAATCCTTTTAAAAATTGGTTGATAACTCCATCTGTTAACTCATAGAACTTTGATTTTTCTGTTTGCATTAGCTTTATGCTGGTTTTTTCCTGTTTATTATAAGCATATTACTTTCATGTAACTTAAAATAGGGAGCCGGAATTTGGGAACCCTGGGTGGAAACACTCAAATCAGCTCCTCCTATACGTCAGGATATGATGTTTAATGAAATAATTGTACCAACTCTGGATACTGTTCGATACATGGCATTGATGGAATTGTTGACAGTGCATCAAAAACCTTCTATATTTGTGGGGCCAACAGGAACTGGAAAAAGTACCTATATTACTGTAAGTACTTTTAATACTGACATTAGACGTAGTTATAAAACATGTAAGATGAGGAATAATTTGATAACTTTTTTTAAAAGGAAAATGAGACACAAATCCTTGGATATTATGAAATGTAATTATAAACAACTAAAAATGCAGTTCTGTAGCAAAAGATGGTGGTTTTGGGTTTGTTTTTTTTCTCTGCACTTCCAGACTAAATTCTTAAGAAGCACCTAGATATCCATATATAGTCTATGATCTAGTCTTGGGATTTCTAAGCTTCATATAATTTTTCCGTAGAAAGGAAAAAAAAGGATAGGGTTTTTCAGTGTATAAACAGTTAATTGTTTCAATGTGAATCTTTCATTTTCTAGGAAGTAGCAATGTCAACAACTGTTTAATATTTAAAAAGTTATGTTATACATTAGTATATCAGGCATTTTATCTAGATTAATATTATATTGCAGATTTCTATATATGACACACATACATACATTAAAAAGTCTATTAAGTTAGTAAAATAGAAAGTTCGAAAGCTAATAAATTCTACCTTATACAATAATTGACATTTCTTGAGCATTCGTTATGATAACCTGGTGAATTGCGTGATCGTATGGTTGTTTTTCTCTTGTAGGGTTCCAGTCTTACCACTAAGGGTATTAGTCTGTTCACATATTTTTTTTAAAAAGAAAAAAAGACCATTTTATGTAGAACCTCTTCTCCACTTGCAGAGCTTCAAAAACTTGCAGTAAATTCAGGAAAACAGCAGATTTGGAGATGGATTCTGTCCCTGTCAGTGACAGAAGTCCTCTGTAACAGTAGACAAGTCACCCTAATGAAACTTTTCATGGGCAATTATTGTGTTCCTCATTTTGTGGAGGGCTGATCTGAATCCATGGGTTCTGGTTTGCAGAAGTGCTGTTCTTCAGATAATAACAACTTGATTTTTTTAAGTTAGTTCTCTAACTGGATAATGTTTTGCCCATTACCCTTCTATATCTTTGTACTGGTGTGTACCATAGAAAAGCCTGTAAGAAAACTACTAATTTTGTCTTTGAACATGATTAGAATTCTGTTTAATAAATGAACACTGAGCACTGAAGAGAAAACAAATCATTGACAGCTGTTTTTTAAGTTACCATTGTGCATTTTTATATTGAAAGAGGCAAGATATACTTGGTTCAAAGTCTGCCTAATGATAATCAAAACACATGATAGTAAGTAATAAAAACATTTAATGCAACTAATGACTTAGTACAGCCAACAATATATATTTTTTTCAGAGCTTGTGAAATTCTAATCAAAGGGAATAACAGTCTTGTAAAAAGCATTGTAACTTCAACTATTAGAATAAGAAATCAAGATAAATGTGGGGGGGCGTGTTAAATTTTTTTTTCCATGTCTACAAATATTTTTTTTCCTATCTAAAGGGATAAATCAGAATGTATAATTGAAAGCAGATTTTATTATCTTTTTAAAATAATTGAGTCATTATTTTGGGATAAAGTATTTCCTTTTTTTCATCTTCAGTCACCAAGTGATGTTTTATTCATTTTAATTTGGTCATGCCATTATTAAAATAACAATAAGGATCTATTCTAATGGTGTAGATCAGAAATTTTAGATAAATTTTAATTCTTCCTATAGATCTGAGAGATACTATGGGTTAAATCCCGATACCATCAATTTTTCTGGGAGACTATTAAAGCCTGACAAGCAATGGAACTGTGACAATAGAATGTTCATAATATTGAGGTTCACTTACAGAGTTTTCCGAATTCAGCATTTTTAACTGGATTCTATCTAGATCTGTGGGAAAGTATACTTTTGACGCAAAAAGGGGATATGTGAGTAGAGATATGGCAAAGCCATTATCGCATTTTTAGCTAATGGGTTCTCTAAGTAAATCATAAGAGAGAAGGAAGAAGCCATTCCTCTGAGCAGCACAAAATTGATTTTATTTGTTCTTTTTTCCTCCAGTATGTCTTTTTGTAGAGGATTTTGCTTCAGTTGATTGCTACAGTGTAATCAGCATGAAGCCTGTGTACACTCAATTGTTTTGCAGAGGGAGCAAAACTTGAAAGTTATGTAAGCAGATAAAATAAATTTGTCTTATGGTCTTGAATCTGTTACCTTTCCTTCCTTTTGTGTGATAAAATTAACTGTGAAGTTACTGACTATGGCCTATTTAACTTAGTTTTGGTTTTAAGTTACATTTCTGAAATAATTTTGAAGAAAATTAATATTAAGAATGGAAGGAAATCTGTTCATAAAAGACTGTTCTGCAATATTGATGTCAGAAATATAATAAAGCATAAGTAAAACATTTGTTTATAATGAAGACTATGACTAGTTTCTACTGCCCAGTTAATTTCTGGGCTGATAGTTAAGAAAGTGATATTTCTTGGGAGTTCAGAACTGATAAAAGGAATAAAAGAAATATGGCCATTGAGTCACATTGCTTTATAGTTTCCATAAGTTGTCATTCTTATATTTTTGTGCAGCATATCTGATTTTTCCTTCAAGAATAGAGATTAAACATTCTTTCTGCTGAAAAGACTATATGGTCTTGGAAGGTCCAAACAGCTGTTGAGAGAGAGATTAGACTAGTCATTAGAGACATTACTTTATATGCAATAATACTCTGTAGCAACTGCTGGAAGGATGGAAGGGTATCTTCCCCTTGTGGTTTTACTCACATATGGGTAAGAAATGAGTCCCACTCAGTCTTACTTGAAATGCTGATTTTGATCCAGATTTCCCCTAGTGGTTAAATTGCAGCTAACATAAGGGACTTTGGAAGGTAGTTATCATTATAAAATACTACCAATCTTGATGGTAAAGCTTATCTTTAGATGTTCTTGCTCTGCCCTTCAAAAGAAATATTCCTGGAAACTCTTCAAAACTAGGCATAAATATTTGGATGTGTGGATACTTCTGCAAATTTGGGTGTGGATTAGTACAGGCAATATATATCAACTCTAATTACTACTATGAAGTGTTATGTGTGCAAAATATTAACATACTGAATTTATATAATACCCTAGGTAGATTTTTTTTTTTGAGAAAATGTGAAAATGTCTATATTGGAGTTAGAAATTTTTCTCTGACAAATTAAGTTTATTATGGTTTGAATTATTCAAGAATATTGGTTTATCTGATGAAATATGATTACTCATATACTGAAATATGATATGAGTTCTCTTCAAGTTAAAATACTACTTTATCATTTTAAATAAAATAAAAATGGTACAAAAACGTCTTATCTTTTACATTGCTATTTTCTAAAGTGTTATAAAATTTGTTTATCTATGTATATAGTTTTACTTTCTCCTCTTCACAATCCTTCCAGAATTTTCTTTTAAATAATTTGAATAAAGAAGTCTACAAGCCACTGCTCATTAACTTTTCAGCACAAACTACAGCAGCTCAGACTCAGAATATTATAATGTCCAAGCTGGACAAACGGAGAAGAGGAATTTTTGGACCTCCTCTTGGGAAAAGAATGGTAACTGATATATTTCTGTATGTAAATCAGTCCGTAAATGCATTATTTTCTCAGCTGATCACAGGCGATATCAAGAAAGGATGCTCAATTTGAAATAAACTGTCAGAGTTCTAATTCTTCTAATTTAGATCTTCATTTCTCTTCTTTCTCCCTTCTCCTAGTAATATGCATACTGTTTTAATCAACAGAAAATGTGATATATGATATGAATAACTGTGAACAGCATTGTCATATTTCCCCTTCCATATTTTGTGGTATTATCCTTGAGATAAGAGGTCTCTGAGCATGAAATCAGTGTTGCGGAATCAGCTTTGAGCATGAGGTTGGACTAGATGAACTCCAACGTTCCTTCCAACCTGGATAGTTCAATGATTTTGGGAGTGTTAAAGGAGATTTGACTCTTTTAAGTTGTTATCTCTGATGCCTGCCAAAGCACTCAAGATCAATGAAACTGAAGCGTGAGAAGGATGAGTAGACCTCTTCCTCTTTTTTTTCTGCAGTGAGCAAATCTTTTTTCCCGTCTAGAAGAGTTGCAATGAGACTGAAAATAGAAATCTAAGGAGTTTTCATTATCTCTCTCTCTTTTTTTTTTTTTTTTTTTAATTTTTTCCCCCAACCCAGATTAAGGACAAATTTAGCTTTTAAGGAAAATTTTAAAATTACTATGTTTATAATAAAGTGATAGATGTTTACGATTTAATACTGGTACTTTTAGGGTGCCTGTAGATTTTTTTGTATTTGCGGGCTTCCCCACCCCCCCCCCCCCCCCAGTATTTCCTAGCTATTTTTTAATAAGTGTTTGTTATCAAGTGCAAAATGTATTAATGTTAGAAGTTCATTGAGGAAGTATTATTTAAAGTTTTAAAGTGTTTTAAGGTCTTCCCCTGCCTCCCCCTCCAAGCTATTCTTTTAAGATGTATTTTAGCCCAGTCTTAAAAATGTAAAGATACTTTGAAGATAAATTTTTTTTCTTCATATGTATTAGTCAAGAACACTTCAAACCATTTCATTATGTTGCCCAAATTGCAGTGCTAAATAAGATACAAGGCCCATGATTTAACCTGTTTTGACCAAATTTCTGCTCTGTATCAGTTAGAGAATGAGAAGAAATGGGATAAAATGCATAACTGCGTTTCTAGAACTTGCATCGTTTGCATTAGGTTAGTCGTTTGAAGATGTTTCCTGATCAGGAGTGGCCTATACTTTAGGAACAGCAGTGCCAAGAAATATGTAATGTTTAATAGATTTAAAAACAGAACCATAGTCTCACTGAAGTTTGAGATTTTTGTGGGTCTTTTTGACTCCATCTTTTTTCCCCAAGAAAAGCCATGTAACACAGGTTAAATAGCAAGTATCAGTTCACCGTGTTTCAAATACACTCAGAAACAAGAAGAGAAGCACAGTTTCTCTCTTCTATAGGTATGTTTTGCAATGGCTTTAGAGTGGCGCAGTTATTTCTTAAGTTAGATTTTTATTTAAATCAGCAGCAACTCCATTAAGAGCTTAGGACTGCTTTTCAAAAACATGTATTCACGTGTATTATTCCCACTAATTTTAATGGGAGTGAACTGATGTGCAGTGTTTCCAGAATCAAGCAAAATGATGGCATATATTCAGCAAAATAAATAAATGCAAAAACCTTTATGTTTTTCTTTTGAGGTTGTATTTGTAGATGATGTTAATATGCCAGCACGAGAGGTCTATGGTGCTCAACCGCCTGTTGAATTACTACGGCAGTGGTTAGATCACTGGAATTGGTATGACCTTAAAGACTGCTCAATGATTAAATTGGTAGATGTTCAGATTGTGTGTGCAATGGGACCACCAGGTAAGAGATGTGTCTTATATGCTTTTTCCTGTTTCTTTTTTTTTCTCAAAGACCGAATGCTTATTGATGCATAGTTTGACCATTTAGGTCTTTATGGCTAGGGATAGGATTCAAGGAACCCTTTAATTGCAGGAAACATGAACAGTAGTCATAGTAGAGTGGTTGAGTAGCAGCAGAGAGACTACACAAGCCTAGCAGGAAGAAATAGTGCTTTTCAGGAAGACAAGAATGTATCTAGAAAATATTTATGAAATCACTTTGGTCTAATGAGACCCACCATTAGCACTCAGTCAATTTTATTCTTCAAAACTTTTCTAAACAGCATTAAGTGATGTTCTTAAGCAGATAAACCTTACTTTATTTGAAGAAAAAAAAAAAGAAAAAGTAAAGCATATGATGTAAAGAGGTCATTGTATTTCTGATAGCCTGCATACACATTGACTATATGAGCTATTTATTTAAAAAAAATGAGCCTGGCATATTTTATCAGTTAAAATGAGGAATTAATGTTTTTGATGCTGTTGTGTTTACTTTTACAGAATCTATGTAATCTATTTTCTTCACTACAGCAGGAATTTCTTTTCGCAGAATTGTTCACAGCCCTGTCTCTAACATACCACCTAAAAAGTTTGTCATAGCTGAGCATGTTTACAGTGTTTAATGAGGCTATGATTGGTGCTTTCCCTCTCTTTTCTGCTTCAGCCTCCCTGGACTTTCCTCCCCTCTTTTGTAGAGTTGTTTACACACAGAAACGCATGAACACGCCAGTGAACCTTCTCTGCTGATACTACTTTTGTGTTTGGGATGCTGATGCATGCCCATGGGATAAGGGTCTGCTGTTGTTTCATCTATCTGGTTTCCTAAAGAAGCAAACCTGCTTCTTTCAGTCATTTTAAATTAGAGGCAGTAATCGTCCACAGTTCAAAGCACTTGATCTAAGTATCAGTCTGTGGAATAACTGAGCAGAAGGAAACTGGAAGACTTTTAAAATTTTACATCTTCATTTTTCCTAAAGCTTAGATGAAGTCGTGACTTGTACTATGCTCTGGCATAACTTAATTGCACAGGTCTTTCTTTTTTGGTGTTGTTTGTTTGTTTGTTTTTACATCAGAAATAGCCAAATCTTGGAGGTGCTTTTTCTGTAAAGCATCCTTTCATGCTGTGTTCCTGTTGCAGGGTGATAGAGTAGAAGTGACTTTGAACTGCTCTGAAATTGGGTCAAATTTTCCTTTCCCAGGAAAATTTGTAACCAATTTTGTTCCAGTACTCTTCTGGTTGAATGGTGGAAGATGGACTGATCAAATGTACAAGTTATGGTCCTAACTATTTGTGTCAAATATCACAATTCAGCTTCAGGCTGAAGAATTTATTTTTGTAGTTTGTATAGGGAGCTACTTCCAGAACTCACAAAATTATATTCTCCCCTCCAGCCTGTGCTTATTTTTTTTTCTCCTAATAAGAAATGAAAATCTGAAATCTACATATGTATATAGTGCTATTGAAGCAAATATATTCTATTGAAAGAACATTTAAAGCTATTTTATTAAAGTTAGGTTCAAATTTATGTTAGGAGAGGATAATCTTTTGGGTAAAATTCATATTTAGATCTCATTAGTTTGTGTAATTTTGCCATCTGTGCACATGTAAACTTCAAGAAGCACTGTAAACTATGTCTGAGAGATGACTTCAGTTGGGGTAGAAGGAAGTAGGATGAATAACTGGCCTATTTAACATAAAATACTGAGATTCCTCAGCAGATACTGCTGCACAGTTAAATATAGGCAATCCCTAGTTCTGCTTGCAGGTGGCTGAATGTGAGACAGCTCTAGGCCAGGAGTCTTTTAGTTTCATTAGTGTGGGGTCATACCTGAGCTACAAAGTCACGTTTTAAAAGAACTTACCATACTAATTTGGTTACCCTTAACTATGCTCCTGATGTTAGGGATGGTAGATTGCCCATTTTCCAGCTACTTTTTTCTGATTTGCTGCTATAAGAAAGTTGAACACACTGTGCAGCAGCTTAACCCTGAATTCCAAACAGAAGTAGCTATTATGCAATAAATTTCTGTTTTATGTCCCCTTAGTTCCACACAAAGCTTCATTGTTCAAATCACAATCTAGTCATAAAAACTACTAACTCTAGAACTGGGATAAAATTTAAATTGAATAAAGTATACAGCATTACTTTTAGAGGCTTCTTTCATTGGGATGCTTTGAAAATCAAGAACGGTGGTTTGGAGTTTATAATAAAAGCTTTTTTTTTATCATAGAAACATAGTTAAAAATAGTGTCAAATCTATCTATAACTTGATGATTTCAATCTGTATTTTACACACTATTGGCTACAGGAGAGCAGATTGACACAGAACTGCATGTTGTTTTCATTAGGTTTATGACAAAGTGTGGTACTTTTCAACGTGATCCTGCTAGCTGAATCAAAGATGAATATTAGAAAAAAACAGCTAGGCTTTTACTGTTTTATTTTCATTTTTTCTGTTACTAATGATATTAATGCTTTCTAATATTTAGGTGGTGGTCGAAACCCAGTAACACCACGATTCTTGCGACACTTCAATACAGTTACCATTCATGAGTTTGATGATGAATCCATGTATACAATTTTTTCTAGAATCTTAGACTGGCATCTAACAGTGTGGTAAGTGACCTCTATGTATTAGGCAGCATCAAAGTCAGTGTTTGAATTATTGTACTAGGAAGTCTCCAATATATGTTTGTAGGACACTGATCTTGAAAAGAAATTATAATCTTTTATATCCTGTGCCTTTTGAGTTAACCATTACTCCACAGAAGTAGCGCTCAACTTAAAAATACTCCTATGGTAAAGTTCTTGTTCTAAAGTCTGTAACAGAGGTTTAGATTAGCTGAGGCTAATTAAGTTAGTTGAGATATTTCTGTAATACAGTATTCTTTGATGTATAATAAATAAGAATAGAATTTGGTTAGTCATTATTCAAAGAACAGAACTGGAAACTGCTCTTAAATTTCCTGTGGTTCGAGAAGGCTTACTCTTTCTTTGGCCTTTCACCACTGTATAATTTTTAATTCCATTTATTAGGAATGGATTTCAACTTTGTCTATCCATTCTGACAGCTAAGCCACAAGAGATGCTCAGATCCTGTTCCCAGACCAAGTTTGTGAATTGGCAGCTTTTAGCTCTTTGAGGGAGAGAGGTCTCAGAAGACAGCAAGGGCTATTTGACCTTACTTCCCTGTTGCAGCTGTTAGTCATAAAAATGAGGGGGGAAAAGGGTATAATTAGCTAACATTGCCAAATTTGTCAGCATGTTCCACAGTTACTAGATTTGATTTGCAGAGTTAATCTGTTAATTCAGTGAGAGAATTTAAGATTTGTAAAACTACCTGTGAGGAAGTGTAATCATAGAACTTCAAAAATTGGCACGAATCAAATCAGTGTAAAACCCCCAATATTATTTATTAATTTGCATGCTAGTATGATGGAATTATGAGAATCATTCTGTTCTTACCATGTTTTATAACTTGTCAGTTATAGCTTTCCATCACAATACGTAGAACTGACTCCGCAAATTATTAATGGAACCATGCATGTGTATAAAGAAGCTATGAAGAATCTGCTTCCTACCCCAGCCAAATCTCACTATTTGTTCAATCTCCGTGACTTTTCACGTGTTATTCAAGGTGTTTGCCTGTCAAGGCCTGAAACAACAGAATCTGCAGGAATGATAAAACGTCTCTGGGTTCATGAGGTAAATCACCTAATACTAAGAAATCATATTTATTATAAATAAGAAAAAGATGTGGATTTGTGTATTAATATTTTTGAAACACCATCTCCTGTTGGCTAAAAGCTATGAATTGGGATCACGCTCATGAGAAAGGCTTTTGTATACTGTATGGGCAGAGGAAATCAGACTTTTTCAAAGTATTAATCATATCTTAGTAGACAAGTTGATTGTTGATACCTTCACTTTCATGTGATTATGTAGTCTCTGTTCACTGCTTTGAATGCCTGCACAGTCCTTTCAATGTCTTCTCTCCTTCCTCCAAAAAACTCCAAATCAGCAGTGAGAAGAACAGCAAGTAGTCCTAGGTCACTTGAAATTTTGAGTGATTTAAAGTTGGGTCACTGATTTTTTTTTTTTGTTTTGTTTTGTTTACTACTGGACTGCCTTTAGAAGAAATTCTTGAGCTTACTGTCTTCAGCAAATGCTTCCTGTCTTTCAGTCATAATAGGATAGACACACTGAAAGAGCTCAAATGACACATCCCTTGTAAAAACAAGACAAAAAAGTCCTGTATAGGTGATACCTGCTCTCTCTTGTTTTGGAGGGGTTTGGTGTTGGGTGTTTTTGTTTGTTTTATTGGGTTGTTTTTTTCACCCCTGGATTAAAAGAAAGCAAATTCATTGATAATTGCTGTTTTTTACATATTTAGGTATGGTTCACAGAATCAGATCAACATAAAGCGTCCATTGTCCTTCCCCAAAGCAGGATCACATAAAGAAAGGAACAGTAACTTTTGAAGTGCTTTTTCTAAAAATTTCTTACAATTCTCTAAGGATGAAGGATGTTCAGACTTCCAGGCAATCTGTTAATGTTCTTCACTGTCTTTTTAATTAAAAACATTTTTCTAATATTCAGCTGCAGTCTTCTTTCTTGAAATACAAACCCATAACTTGTCCTGTCTAGCTGTAGAGACCAACATGAACCCTTCCTCTTTGCAGCAGCCTTTTATGCATTCATGTAATAATGTTTATAAATATGAGTATATATGTATTTCTGTATGAATTTTCACTTTAATTCAGAAGTAATATTACTGGGCTCAACTATTTAAATTAATTCTAAATATCTATTTTATTTTTTTCTATGTAGTGAAGTTTAAGATAATTTATATTTTGAAGTCTTTTTCAGGATTGTATTTGTTTTATCTTGTTTAAAAGAAGCATAAATTCAAAAGCAGAAGCAACTATTAAAAGAATTATATTTTTATTATACAGGTTCTTAGAGTGTATCACGATCGCTTGGTGGATAATTCTGACCGGGCTTGGCTTGTTGGATTTATCCAAGAAGTAGTGAAAAATGACTTACATGAAGACTTCCATGAACTTTTCCAGAATCTGGACTTCAACAATGATGGCAGAGTGGAAGAAGACGACTTACGTAGCTTAATGTTTTGTGATTTTCATGACCCTAAGAGAAACGACACTAAATACAGGGAGATTAGTGATGTGGATCAATTGAGATTAGTTGTAGAGAGTCACCTTGAAGAGTTTAACAACATGAGCAAAAAGCCAATGCAGCTTGTCTTGTTCCGATTTGCTATAGAACATATTTGTAGAATTTCTCGTATTCTGAAACAGCCTCGCAGCCACGCCCTCCTTGTTGGTGTTGGAGGTAGTGGTCGACAATCTCTTACTCGATTAGCAGCCCATATGGCTGAATACAACCTTTTTCAGGTTGAAATATCTAAAAGTTATGGTATCAATGAGTGGCATAAAGACTTAAAAGTCATACTAAGAAAATCTACTGAAGGGGAAATGCAGGGAGTTTTCTTGTTCACAGATACACAGATTAAAAAGGAGTCATTCTTAGAAGACATTAACAACTTACTAAATGCAGGTGAAGTGCCGAACCTCTTTGCAGTAGATGAGAAACAAGAAATTTGTGAACAAATGCATCAAGTAGATCGCCAGCAGGACAGGACAAAACAGACAGATGGCAGTCCTATAGCTCTTTTTAACATGTTTGTTGATCGCTGTCGAGATCAGCTTCATATAGTACTGGCAATGAGTCCCATTGGAGATGCTTTCCGTAATCGCCTTCGTAAATTTCCAGCTCTTGTCAACTGCTGCACACTAGACTGGTTTCAGGTAAAACCAAAACTTTTGTTGGGCTTGTTATTCTAATGGAAATGCAACAGAAACATGACTTCAACCCTTTTTGTAGCAAGTAATTCTATTCAGTCAAGTTAGCAGTGAAAAATACCTTGAATTTTCCTAGGGTCATGTTTTAAATTATTTACACTATTAGAACCATTCTGACTGTAATAAAGGCATAAAATATATAGGGTGAATGCAGAATCATCAGGAAAATAACTGTCAGATATAACTGAATGAACATAGTAATGTAAACATTACAGATTTAAATATGTAGTGTTTTCTTCTATTACCAGGACTGCCAGAATTGAGCATGTCAAAAAAGTTTGAAATTGAAATACCTGTCAAAAATACAGACATCTTTTGATGTGGAACCCCAGATTTTTCCCCACTACTCTGCAATAAAACTATATTCTATCTGAATGTTATGTACAAAAGACCTTAGAATATTTAAGATGTAGAATTTAATCATCTAAATAATCTGAGGACTTAAATTTCATCAAGTTTTAAAATGTAGTACTGTCTTTAAAGGTGATTTGGAAGAAGAAGTGCAAAGACAGTTATACACACATACAGAAATACTGAAACCACAAAATTTTGCTTTTAGTAACAGTATTTCTATTGGATGAAATAAGACAGTGGGCTTGAACTGAATCCCTAAGTAGTTTGGTTCTTTCCAGGTCTGTTATTGTCCTATTTGATGCTCTTATCATGAAGTAATTTCTTTATGCCTCAGTAAGTTTGTTTATGAAATGGGGTAAAGATACTTTTTTGACAAATGTTTTGAGATTTGGGTGTGAAGTACTGAATAAGGGAAAGGTATTGATTAATTTGTTTTAGACATGGCCTGAAGATGCATTAGAAGCTGTCGCCTCTCGCTTCTTGGAAGATGTTGAAATGTCTGAAGAAACTCGAAGTGGGTGTATTGATATGTGTAAAAGCTTTCATACATCTACCATTGTTTTATCTGACTTATACCATGCAGAGCTTCAAAGACACAACTATGTAACACCTACTTCATACTTGGAATTGATTTCCACTTTTAAAAGTCTACTTGAAAAGAAACGCAGGTAAGGATTTATAATGTGACTTTTTCTAGAAGAACCCAAGTTCACCAAAAATATTCTTTTCTATCTCTCATAGCTGATCTGAACAAAACAAGTGAATTGTTTTTAGTTAATTTAAATTGACAGAATGGTAGATGGATAAAGTCTGCTCTTAGGACACACACTTCCTTATTGGACAAAAGGTCTGACTTGACACTCTCAAAATATACTTGCATTAGACCACTTCTGACATCCCTGGTGATGTTGCTATATGTTGATCCTATGCATAATAGAATAGTTCAAGACTATAGCTCAAGTAATCCCTCTTGTTTACTATTTGTTGAGCAAATAAAGCAAGATTGGCAGAACATTTGATTATTCAGAGGAGTGAGAAATTTGGGGAATGGATCCCATTGAATGAAGTGATCAAGTACTGAGAAAATATAATAAAGTACTATTTATTTTCAGGAAGGTGATGAAAATGAAAAGAAGATATGAAGTTGGCTTGGAGAAACTGGACTCTGCTGCATCTCAAGTAGCCTTGATGCAGTCTGAGCTGGAGGCTCTGCAACCTCGGTTACGGGAAGCTAGCAAGCAGGTTGATGAGATGATGGTCGTTATTCAGAAAGAATCTTTGGAAGTAGCGAAAACTGAAAAAGTTGTGAAAGCTGATGAAGCAGTGGCAAATGAGCAGGCTATGGCTGCAAAAGCCATTAAAGATGAATGTGATGCTGACTTAGCACAAGCCATGCCTTGTTTAGAAAGTGCTCTGGCTGCCCTTGACACTCTCACTGCGCAGGTATGGCGAACAATGCATATTTACACACTGGAGAGGTATTCAGATATACAAAAGTATGGAATATCTGCCTTTTCAGATTTATATTATATTCACACAATTTTATAATTTAGAAACTTCTTGAAATCTTTCAGTTTTAAAATGCAAAATGTTACTCTGTATTTTCTAGTGAAAAAGCTATAACGCTAAATTTTTATGGACTACAGGATCAAATATTATTATAGATATTTCAAAGGTCATAGCTATTAAAATATTTTGACTCAAGAACTGAGAAGTTAGAAAACATATGCTTTTTAGTTTCTTACTCAGAACCTGCTAGCCTGTCAACTAATACTTTCATATCTGGTCTTCCAGAGTCTAGTAATTGAGGTTGAAATTCTGCATCTGCCCATGTTAAGGGACCACTCTTCATAAGCATATGACAGTGCAGGCAGCCACCTTTGTTTTTATGTATATTCAGGTTTTCTTTTCCTGGATAATGTTTTGTTCATGGTAGGATGAAAGGAAGTCTCCCAGGTTGTGAGAGTGAGGATGGACTTATGTGCTCCAGCTATTGTTCTGAAAACAAGATTTTCAAAAACTTTCAAGGCAACCTTCTTAGATAGAAAGTAGGTGGTCTGTTATCTACAGCTATTGCTTGGTATCAAAAGTTTTAGATTCTGGCATTGACAGATCATTGGCATGCTTTGTGAAAATAATAGATGGCTACTTAATCACATCAAGGTAATTGCATTATACTTGTGAAAATCAAGGCAAGAATGAGGCTTTGAAGGCTAATGAAGTAATACTTCAGCTGCTGTCATTGCTTAGTGTATCCAAAAAGGGAGTATTATAATACAAGGGGGGGGGGGGGGGGGGGG